ATTCCCATGTAAGGAGGCAGCCCAGTTAGGGACTTGAAAACAGGAACAAAGATCAAAGCTCCAACACCGATAGAGAATACGAGCTGTCCTCGAGGAGCCATCTGTTCAGATGGCATGACATCTGCAGCATCCTGTCCCTTTCCGTTAACTTCACTGTATAAACAAGACAAACCAATATCATTTTCATCTAAGAGTGATAAGACAGAACCTGATGGGAATCTGGTCACTGAATTCTCCAAGAGTGCAAGAAGGATACCTGGTCAGGGACATAAGTGCAAGGGGCACAGCAAGAGAAACCGCTGAAGGTATAAACAAGTCCTGAAGCAAGAAAATAGAGGTCATGAGAACTTCTACAAGAGCTAAACAAAAGGGAAGACCCTTGCACTGGTAGAAGGGGAAACCTTAATTCATTTAAAAACAAGGATAAAAGAGAAAACCTTTATTGTCGGCAATGTGGAAATCTGACCGTGGATCCATAGCATTGTGGTGGTAACATCACCAATCGGAGTCCAAGCACCTCCAGCATTTGCTGCAATCACAACAACTGCTCCTAGAAGCCTGTACAGACAGAAAGCTGCATGAGAATATATTACGCTCAGTTATTGGCGTATCTCAATTATTAATCACAGATTTTTTTTTTTTAATAAGTTAATCACAGAATTTTGTATAAAACGATTTAGCGAATTGAAACAATTGTGAACAATTCTACTTCCTCAATTCTCTCCTTTATCCAAAATCAAGAAACTTAAGACATCTGCAAGGTAGTTCTTGATTTTTAACTGATAAAATAGGATGAAAAGTTATCCGCATGAGCCGAGCAATACTAGAATATACAAAATGCAACAAGACTATATATGGTTGCTGCAAACTGTGACGTAGAATAACATTTTTCTGAGCAACATATAAAGAAATGCTACATAACATCACAAGAAAGCATTGGCTAGCAACATACTTCCTGTATTCTGAGGGGGGCACAAGTTTCCTCAGTAAAGAAACCATGACAATTGTTGATGTCAGGTTATCAAGGATTGAACTCAGGAAAAATGTTACTAGGCCAATCTGCATAATTAAAAACACAACAGTCAAACACAAATACAGAATGACTGAACTGAAATGAACGCATGGTGAATCAGTAGACTATTTCTGACAATTGTTCGCTAAGGAACCCAGAAATGTATATGGAACAGGAACATGACACTAACCACCCAAAGCAGAGAGCGTGGCTTTCGAGTTGTTATATTGTCAGTGACTAGCTTAAATCCTTGATGAGCATCGACTATCTCCACAATTGTCATTGCACCAAGCAGAAAAAAGACTATTTCACTAACTTCTGCTGATGCATGTTGAAGCTCCGAGACAGCAATATCAACTGAAGGAGCCTGCTCAAGAAAATCAAAGAACAAACAATGAATACTTGCCATGATGTAATAGTTGTATGTGATAGTGAGTAGTAGACTACGAGTTAACATAATAACATTTATGGTGGATCAATACAGGGACCTAAAGTTGAGATACACTAGTGAGATGGATTGGCATGTCTATTTGGACTCAAATACTATTGAATCAAACAGTTTGATAAATTCAAGTAATTTCAAATCGAATAAATTCAACACTTAGCTTGCCGAAATGTTTCATAAACGGCTCATCTAATGCATGAACTAAAAGCAATTCTCATAAAGTAAGGTTGCATCTTTTATTCTTCCTAGATGTAGGATAGCAGATTTCTTATTTACAGTAAAATGACTAATAACATATAGAAGAAACATTAACAAAAAATGTAGGTGACTGACAAATGGAAAACAATATATTCTGCAGAGAAAGCAAAACTCACTCCAATACTTCGAACGGACCATAAGCTCACAGCCATCAGTAATCCCACCCCACTTTTATTGAAGGCAAGAGACTCTTCAAAGATAATGCCAGCATATCCTATTCCAAACAGCAATGCCATAGCAAGATTCTGTATCCGCAAAAGCCACGATTATCAAATAGAGCAAACCTTAATATTAAACAGAGAAGTTCATGCTTCAGTTTCCAATAGACAATGACTTAAACAAACAATCCTTACCTGATTCGCCGCCACCCACGAATGATTAATCGCCGCAGCTCCAGTTAAAGCTGTTCCCACAACTGCAAAAGCTTTCAGCAAGTCCGTCTTGGGCTGGTAGTTGGCCTCATATTCTTGTGAACTCGTTTCATCAACAGAACATATAGGATCACAGTTCCCCGATTCTTCTGTGAAATCCTGATGAAATGCAAGATAACCAACCACCAATTTGAATACTTGCAAGTTACATTGAACATGGAAGATTTTTTAACAGCATGCATTTCCTCCCTATACAGCGGCAGTATGACACAAATGACTAATAATTCAAGTCTGCGAGTAAAGCCTCCAACTTTGCCATTTCCTTTAATAAGGAGCTATTAAAGGACAAGCTTGCAACCGAGGGTTAGCCAAAGATAATCCACCAAGCAGCAAAATTGAGAAATTGGGTTGCCATAGAAATGTAAGATTGTGAGAAAACTAATGGTGACATAAAGTACCTGGAGCTGTTGAGTCCTCTGCTGAATTGGCGACGAATAGGATGAGTCCCTAGCCTTATCCTCTGCTCTCACCAGCAACCCACCGCCGAACCGAGTTGAACCTCGAAATCTACAGTGGGAAGGGCCAAACGAAGGTGGCGGAGAAGCGGGAGATAAGGGAGGATGGAGCGAGTGTTTCTTGAATTGGCGGAATGGGTTCAGGTGATGTGATCCAATGGCGAAAGACGCCATTACAGGGCGTCCTGGACTAGTAGCTGAAGCAGTAATTACACCACAGAGCGAGATTTTTGAAGGAGTGAAGAAAAGTGGGGAGAGGACTGTTATTGGGGTTCCCGATTCCCGTTCATGGATTGGGTTTACTTTTCGGGTCCGGCGGAGTATTTTTGTTCTTGTTGTGGTGTTCCAGCCCAAGTTGCACGAGGCAGCAGCAGTTTCCCCAGTAAAGGATAAAATGGAAAGTGCGATCGCCAAAGCTCCCAGTCCCACATGAGAAACTGAGGACAATGGTTCACTAATCAGTAATCACTCTCTTTAGTCTTTCCCGTTTTGACTAAGCTGCAGCCCGTGGGGATTGCGAATTCCAATTGACCCCAACCTACGGGTACTCGATCTGATCCAACTCGGTTATACTCGATAGAATTTAGTTTTGATTAGTTTTCAGTTGGATGTTGATTTATATTGGACGCTCAACCGGAAAAAGTTAGTGGTTTAGGGTTCAATAATTAACCGTTATGAAATTGTAGGTTAACAGTTCATAGAGCCGTTCATGATATATAACAATACAGGACTTGTATAATACACTAATTTAAGAATGAAGTTATCATTGACCATAAACAATTTTCAAATTCATATCATCACCAAAATGTCTAACAAATCATTCAAACTGTCTTACAAAAGAAATCCTAATTTTTTTAAAAATTCAAGTTAAAAATTAGCCGGTAGTGTACCACGTAAAGTCAACGAGGTTGGAAAATGAGAAGAGGTAGCATAAATAAAATTAATAATTCTAGTTTGATGGTCTTAGTTTATGTTAAAGTAGTTAAAAAAATTATGGTGAACAAAGTGGACCAGTTAAACTGTGGTGGTTCATCCGATTTTATGTTGAACCATGAAAAACCGTTTGGTCCATCAATAACCGTCCAAGCAATGGACCGAACTGCTATCCTAACTGGTTTGATGGCTCTACTGGCCCATCCGTTGATCCGGTTCGGTTCTTATAACAATGAGATTTATTTGTTTTTTAAATTTGTGTGCTAGGTGGAGGTTGGGTTTTGAAAAATTTCAATTCATTTTCCACCATACCTGCATCCAAAAGCAAAATGAGGACATTTTGTATATAATCAAAACAATATAAATAATTCACGAATGTTATTATTCTTTATAATAATATAAATATAATCCCATGGTAATTTGTGAATGTTATTATTATTTTTAAGATAGTATAAACATAATCATCTGATAATTTATGAATATTTGTGAATATGTTTATAGAATATTTTTTTGATAACATTACGATGTAGATTATATAAAAAAAATAATATATTGTTATGTTGGTCAGATGTAAATACCCATATGTAACTGCTAAATTAGATTTCACCCAAATAACCACATTGCAATAATGTATTGTTATGTACTTACGTTGAATGAATCAAATTTTTTTTTTGTGGTAGCAGAATGAATCATTAGTAGACCTGACTTACATATGTTTGATTCAATTCTGGACCCAAATAACATTGGACCGCACCCAACCAAGTTACATCCAAGCCGGCCCAATGGAGAACGGGCCGTTTATGTCTTCTGGTTTTCTCCCGCTCCAACGTCCTACTGGGTTACCCGATGCATCGTCACCCTTGGGCTTTCTTTTAGACCTCTTCCGCGATACTTTTTTGGCCAATACTACGGTGCCGCTATAAAAAGTGCGGCACCGATGCCTCAACTTCTGATTGGTCCATGTGGCTATGACGTGGCACTTATCGGATTTATGAATCCAGCCCAAACCAAATGCCTTTATGAACCGGCCCGATGCGATCCAGTCGCCCAAAATGACGGAGAATGCAACTTAGTGGCGTTACCCTCTTTAATTCGTTATTTTTTGAGTTTGTTTCCATTAATGCCTTTAACAAAAAAAAAATGTATTGCTTGATCTTTTGTTTCTCCAGAAAGAGGAAAAAATTAAAAAAAACAATACTGAAAAGCACTGCGTTCGTCTTCAGTCTTCCTCGTTTTCCATCTCCGGCCGCCAATCAAAAGCACTTCCGGCTGCTTCTCCTTCGCCGATCCCATTTCCATTCCCTCCCTCTGCGCCCTCCCTGTTGGAATCGTGAAAATGGAACGCAAAGTTCCTTGGAGGTGCCTAGAGACATTCGTTGCGTGCTAGCTCATTTTTAGCGTCGCAAGTTCTGAGAGGTATCATGCTACAGCATTCAACCCTTCAAAACCTTTCGACTACTAAGTAAGTAGTACAACAAAAATAACTTGCCAATGAAATTAACTCGTGTTCCCATGACGCAGAATATATATTTACAACGAAGCATCTACGTCTATGCCACCTGCAGGGCTTCTTGGCGCTTGATCTCGAAAACTTTCTTAAGAACATCCTCTACCACCTAGTTTTATAGACAGAAGCCATATAATCCCGGCATCAGTGCATAGTGGCGAAACATAATTTTCAGCATTGTTTAGGGATCATAGGCAAGAAATGTTTACCTTATCTGGGGTGGAAGCACCTGAGGTTATGCTGATGGTAATTGGTCATTCTGGTAGAAGTTGTCTTTATCAATAAATTCCCCATGCTATTATAAAACAACAGGAGATTAGGAAGTGATGAACCAAATCGACGAATAAGGATATTAGAAAGTTGTCTTTCTGGAAATAAATATTGTACTCCAGCAAGGATGGGACGAGGATGCAGTGGGTGTTTTTTCTGCAACTAAGTGTAACTTGAAGGCTATCTTGCTATTCTCTGTTCAGTGTCGATCTAGTATGAAGGGTTTCCACGGAGCTCAGCAACTTCTTGAAGATGTGACGTGTTGCTTGAGTTCCATCCACCAACAACTAGAATAAGGTCAACTTTTTCCTCCACCAATTTGAACATGGCGCCTTGTCTCTCCTGCAAAAGAAAAACAGACAATTTTAGCTTACAACACTAGAGGAACGCCAGGAAGATTCTCACAAAACTGAGAATTTGTCATTGAATGTAGGATATCTCTGCATCTCATCTAATAGATCATGAAGCCTACAGCCACACTCTTTATTATCCTAACAACAATCCTCTGCTGCTCGATAATAGAGAAAGATCAATGAGGCAACAGAGAAATACAACGAATTCAGGAGCAAAATGACATGAATCATCATCCTAGTTGCTCCATCTACTACGACTCGAATTACCGGGAAGGGGTTGTAGTCGTTGTGGAGAGTCACTACGCCCTTCCAACAAAATTCGAATTCAGTATCGTTGATTCCAATAAAGGGGGCGCCCGCGAAGAGCGACAGGGACGACTACGGATCGTCTTGAACGTTGCCGACAGAGTACCTCGGAGACAGAGGGATGCTCAGACACAGGGACTGGTCTTTTTGTTTTATAGAATGAATAGGAGGAGGAATAAGATGGTTTATTTCGGCGTAATTTCCATACTCGAGTTTGGATCGTCGACGATGAAGTTCGCCGGAGAAGGAACGCCAGATCGAGGAAGACGACATTCTAGTGTGCCTTTTCGTTCGATTTTACTGTTTCGAAAAAACAAATTCAATTAAAATAAATTAATTTTACTGAATTGATTGGAAACAGTGCAAAACGGCTGAGACATTTCCGTCAGTATAGGTCACCTAGCGGTTAGGCCCATTCTCATGGGCACCGGTTTGAATTAGGGTTAAACAGATCCAGTCAATGACACATCAGCTCCACGTGGTCCAATTATAATCAGCGTCACCGGTGCCGCAGTTTTTATTGCGGCACTGTAGTATTGGCCTACTTTTTTTTCTTTCCCTAGCGCCATCACTCTACGTATATTTTTCCAAACTATTAGAGTGGCTAATAAAATTTCCCACTATAAAACACCAAAATTTCCAAACCACTACAATTTGGTGTAGTTTGCTGGTGTTAAAGTGAATAGAAATGCTATATTGCGCAAGTAAAAGGCAATTATTAATATTAATCACTGATCATAGAAGCGATCAAGTAAAAATGACTGCGTTGCTGGGATCGCTGGAGGTACCAGCAATGCATGATAGGGCTGGGAAACGGTGTGGTCTGGTCCAGACCAGACCATATATACGGTCTATGGTCCAGACCGAGAGGCTAAAGTATAGACCACAGACTATACGGTCCGGTCCAGACCACGCCTGTGCGGTCTGGTTTGGTCTGGTTCAGATAGACCACACTCAACGAAAAATAAATAATTTGTTTAGTCAACCACACAAAAAATTGAACCAATAACCAAGAAAAATAATTGTTATTTGCCTTAAACATTAATCCTAACATGCATGAATAATTTTGATACTCTAAATCTTAGTACATAACAAAGATACAAAGTAAAAACATCCCAGCTTGCACCATAACGTTATAAACATTAACATAATGTCATATGGAGACACTATTATCTCTACTCTCTAGTTAAATGTGGTTGTGAATGACGGAGGGAAGAGATTCACAAAATTAAGGATGAGACTTGGGTGTCGTTGTGGGAGTTTGGAGAGTGGTCGAATGGGCTGTTAACACGTATTGACAAGTCAGTTGGGTCCACGGTTTGGTCTGGTAAACCGCGGTCTAGACCAGACCAGACCAAGAGATTAAATCATAAAATAATACAGACCATGGACCAGACCAGACCATACTTCACGGTCTACGGTCCGGACCAAACTGTGCAGTACGGTTTGGACCACGGTTTTTCTAACGGTCTGGTCTATTTTCCCAGCCCTAATGCATGACAGTTCCTATTTATAGGACCATAGCCCTTGTGTGATGCCACTACAATAAAAAAGGCTTTTTGCAACCAAAGAAAATAGTTCCTAATATCAGAAAATTGGTCATTGATACTTTTTGGTGACCAAAATATATTGGTAGCAGAGTTGGTCGTTATAACCGTGTTCCTAATTCCTATCGTAACCAAATTTGTGATTGGTAGTGAAAAGGAAAGCAATCGCAACCAATTTTGCCTATGGTAAATTTTTAATTTTTTGCGACCATTTGTTCTGGTTGTAATAGGTTTCAATCATTGGTGGCAAAACATATGTGATTGGTCGCCTAAAATACTAATGACTACCAATATTTTTGGACACGAAAGAGAATTCATTCAAGTGTTATCGGCGACCATTTAATTTGGTTGGGAAATTTACCTTTATCAACCAATTACATCATTATAGAAACCAATTATTTTGGTTATAGAAGTTTTGCATAACCATTAAATTTGGTTGTGAAAATAACATATGGCAATCAATCATATAATTTTAGACGATTAATTTTAATGTTTTTTAAAAGTCAATACAACCATAAAATTTGGTCGTGAAAAATTAGTACGACAACCAATTAAGTCATTTTTACTACCAATTGTTTTAGTTATGTAAATATAAGGCAACCATAAAATTTGGCAGTATAAAGAGCAAATGACAACCAATAGTTTTGGTTATGAAAGTTCAACACAATGAAGAAATTTGGTCGGGAAAAATATGAATACCAACCAATCATATCTCCAAAATTAAATTAAAATTACATTAAAAATGTTTAATTTCGTATATAACAGAATTGTATAGAACCAAAATCAGGGTTACATAATTGTCATTGAACAATTAATTGTATACATGATTCTGTTACATTTAAATTGACGTAAAATTCCTTTCCAAAATCAGGGCTCGATCGTCTACATAATTCTGTTACTTTATTCTATTCCATTACACAATTCTAGCGAGTCTTGAGTTTCCCTAAAAAGCTAAGGAAATGACAAAAAGAAGGAATGTTGATATCTCAATTTCTTGTCATTGGTAGTCTTTATTCGATGGAATAGAGGCTGCAAACCAAATAATGTAAGTGCCCACTTTTTTTGTGTTCTTAAAATAAAAAGAGATTGAATAAGAGACGAGGGTAACCTAGGAAAACTTGAAAACTATGTTTGGATTGGATGGGGCTTGCAAGTTGTCAAAGTGTGAGCAAATGACGTTGTGAGTTATGTTTAGTTAATTGTAAATTTATAGTATTTTTTGATATTTTAGTATATAGATTCTAATATCATTATCGCGAATACCAAATAACACTCTAAACTCCTCCCAATATCAATTATTAAAAAATAAATTGATATTCGATAATATCAATAACACTCTCCAGTGGTGTTTTTTGCTCTTTTTTTGTTTCTTCTTGCAATTTTGTGGTGTTTTTTCTGTTTTTTCCGAGTGATTCATGTCTTATGAATCACCTGATTTGCTGTACTCTTCTTCTTTTTACTTTTCTATTAATACTATTTTCATCATTGTAAAATAATAATAATAATAATAATAATAATAATAATAATAATAATAATAATAACAACAACGCCTCTCCAGTGGATTACCCAATCACAGCCACAGTAGGAATATTTCTTCCGCCAATAGCTTGGTGTCGTCATTCTTCATTCATCATTTTGTCGAATGATTGAGTTAAAAATTGGGTTAATAACATTTTATACCCCTCTATTATCGCAAGTTAACAAATGTACCTCTCTATTATTATTTTGCACAAACGTACCCCTCTATTATTGCAACGTAACACATGTACTCTTCCATCCATATTTTCGTTAGTGGACCGTTAAATGACTTGCAAATTGACTATATTACCCTTTTAACTTAATTATTATAAAACTAATTCAAAAAAATAAACCAAAATAATCTGCCGCTATTACCAGTGGCGGAGCCACTCATAAGGTTGGGGGGTGCAAGCACCCCCCTTGGTTTGGAGGAGCCGCAAAAATTTACGAAAGGAAAAGTAAGTTTGGGGAATTACTCTTGACCGACTAATACTAAACAATCTTTCTTATAATCTTCACTTGATGAGTTTCTAATAAATCTTACGATTCTTTATATAACATACCAAGTTAATTCTAAAATTAAACCTACAACTATTATGTTCCCATAAGAAGTTCCCAACAGTTGTTTTTTCCCTTGTTGATACTAGTACGATTCATACCAATTACCACAAATCTAATGATATTTTTCTGTCATAAGTTGAATTGATGTATTATTTTACCTACCATTTGATGGCAGGTTTAAAAACTCACAAAGGGTTGACAAGTTAGAAAAAAGTGAAAACAAATAAGCACAAACTGTATCTATCTAGTTATTTAGTTCTCAAGTTGACAATTATCTGTATGATGCAACTATAAGTGTGGGAAGATAATTTTCACTCATGAATATACAAAAAATTATATTCAAAATTGGATAAACAATGAGTTGGTGACATATATTGAACAAGAGTTGCATGCTAGTTTGCACAAGGAATGTGTTCTACAATGTTTTCAGAATATGAAATCTCTTCGTTGTTCATTATAAGTGGTGTGAGTCGAATTATTATTATGTACTTGTAAAAATATTGAGTATTTTGCTGGCAATTTTTTATTTCATTTAATGCTGACTTTTCTATTATATATAGTTGATTTTTTACGATATGAATAAGCACCCCCTTGACCAATTTTCTGGCTCCGCCACTGGCTATTACCATTTTCTGCCTGTTCAGTTCCCATACGGGAAAATATCTCCACAACTAATTCATCTGACATTTTCCAAGGCCGAGGATGATGTTGTAAATAGTTGAGTGCCGTCGGCGGGGGTTCCATCTCCAAGATTGTTCTTTTCATGCTATCTCCGCCATCGCAATGCAATCACAGAGAGCCT